TAGATTCAAGATCTTCTAAACCATCCTTATTACTTGATGTTATGTCTTTTGGTTCATCTGTCTCCGGTGATGATATATAAGTTGGACTATTGGAGATTTTAGATAATCTTGAAACGTCGGAACCGACAATGTTTTCAAACCTTTTCTGTATGGAATCTTCAGTGTTTTCATCAGCGACATCATAGATCCTTGTTTCATAAGGCTCTTGAAACCTCACTTTTGTTTCTCTTAAAGATGTATGTGTTGGAGAATACGAATTTTCGGAATCTAAATCACTTAAATACAAATTGGATCTATCTTCTGCCTGATAATTTTCATCATCTTCGGATTCTGAAGTGTTATCCGAATACACATTCTCTACATTCTCTGTAATATCGTTTTCTTTTTCAAAATAACGTAATCTCATTTCTCTAATTTCCGAAATTGGTGGTTTATTTCTTGGAGAAAGATCATTAGTATCTTCATTTATAGGAAGATTAAACTCGGAATATGTATTCCTTTTTATCGGAGTGTCTAATTCATTATAATAATCACTTTCTTCACCGAAAGTAAGATTATTTCTAAGTGAACTACTATATCTCATGGTGTTTCTATCGATCGGTTTAAGTGGTTCCTTAAGCTTCTCTGAGCTTATCTGTGTTGAATCACGAGTCTTAAATGGACTTTGACTCTTTCTTGGGGAGATAACCTTAGGCACTATAATATTCATATTAATAAATTTGGATAAAATTAATACAATTGATCGACCTTTCTCTCCTTTTTTTATATGATAATAATGACAATCTTCAATTAGTCACTCACTTGGTTCATTAGGTTCAAGATCACTATAAAGGTTTGTCACGTATGGCACTTGTCTCTTGTCGTTTACTTTTAGAAATTTAGATAATTTCCATTCTTTATTCATTAATTTAGTAGTTTTTTCTTCATTTTCATCCGAGCATTTTACAGGTATTGTGTTTTTCCTAGTGTCATGTTCGATTTTCTGAGATACGAAAATGTCAGCATCTTCATTAAAGCTAATAGATGCAAGTTGTTCGGAAATCAAATTCAATTGATTATTTAATTGTTCGATCTGAGACGCGTTACTATATAATCCTTTGCTAATATTTTGAACTGAACGATCTATATAATCCAAAGGAGTTGATCTATAATAATGATTTCACAAGAAAAAAGAATGAGAAAATATATTTATAGTTCACTTTAAAAAAAATTTGATAATTAGATAATATAATAATTTACCCTGTATATTTATTTGCCTTATGATCTTTAATTTGCTCATGTAACTCGTCCAACTGTTTCTCTAATTCATCCGCGTTATTTTTAACGTCCTATAAATTGTAAAATAAATGTGATATTAAAAAATTGACATTATTTAAATTTTGATAAATTAATCAATAAATCAAAAAAGCAATGATCAATTTTACCTGAAAAGCTTTTTCGTACTTCTCAGTAATTCTTGACTGTATTGTTCCACGATGAGTTGGCGTAACTTTTTGCGGCGATACTAACAACCCAATCTCCTGCTTTGTCATGGCATCCTCTGTCATAAGTAACAAAATTAATAAAAATTTATAAATTAAAAAATGTACGAAAACAACTACAGAAAATATTAAATAACCTTTTACAAAATTAAGTTTTAAATTGGTAGTCTCCAGTTTCAAAAAACTAAGAGAATCGATGATATTTTTAGTTTCTCCTTCCAAACGTTTCGTCTCTGATATTATTACTGGCAAATCTCCAATTGACCAATCATTAGGATTTTCAAGACTATCTGCACTTGTCTGTTCTTGATATTTAATTAAGTAATTTTCCTCAATATCTTTTATTAAATATTGAATCTAGAAAGAAAAATATATATATATTATAGCAAAAGATACAAATTCAAAAAATTAATGAATAATCATGAAAACATACTTCAAGTACACTTTTCTTTGTTGCATCAAGTCGTATTATATGTGGGGATCTTTCTTTATTAAGATCAGGTCTAATAGCACTTGTTTGCTTGATCGATGTCGCATTTTGAGCATTATCTTTGACAATTGTATTTGTTGCATTATTCCTTGCTGCTTGAAAATTATTAGCAAGACCGACCGAAATTTTATCTCTCGAAATATTTGCAGTAGTAGATGTACTAACAGGAACAGATATTTTATTGCTCGGACCAGGTTTGCTTTCATAAATAGCGGGTTCATAGCTCGGTTTAAGTAATATTTTTCCACTTGAAGGTCCAATAGAAGGAATGGGTATTGGGATTGTCATTCCGGGATAACTTTTTCCAGCTAAATATGCATTTTTTTGTAAACAACGAAATGCTAGTATTTCACTTTCGTCATTAAAGATTAAAAGTATAGGGACTGGTGGTATTTGACTATCTTCATCTCCTGTTAATTTTATAACCCAAGATTCTGTCGAAGTTAGATCAAGCGCCATTCCGATTGGTAGTGTTTCATCTTCATGATGTGATGAAAGTGGAAGAATCGCACGAGCTGTTTCTGAAAGATTCCAATTAGACCATGCGTCTGAATCGCTACGAGCAATTAAATTTGTATCAGAAGAATTTGTACTAGCACAAATGACCATGCTTTTCAAATCCGAGTCCCTAGAAGGAATGAATATAAAAGATTATAATTATGAAATGTTATTAATTATTAGAAATGATAAATGAAAACACTTTTACCAATCCTTCATAGATTCCATAAACATATATGAACCCTTATTACGAGGACTTGGATAACAAATATTTGGAATCTGATTATAAACTGTCTTTAATTTATTCTCATTTGATATCAAATAAACTATGTGTTCAGAGTCATCATCCTGAACGATTGGAAAATAAGTTACTATAAATATGGTATTTTCTAGCCAGAGAACATTTCTGACTATAATAGATGTAATGTTAACATTCGCGAAAAAAAAAAAATAAATTATATCTATATTCATCTGTAATCCGATTTAACTTACCATAATAAGTAGATTCTTGAATTCCTGGTGGTGCTTGATAAGATGATTTAGCAATTCCATCAGGCGTAAATTGTACAAGCCTTCCAGATTGACTACCACAAGTCAATTGCTTTCCTTTTGGTGACCAACATACTTAAGAGATTTACGATAATAGTTAATAATCTAAATGATCGACTTGTTTGAATGTAATTTTTTCCACTTACTAGCTGTAACTTGCTCGCCAAGTTTAGAATTTTTCACGGAACCAATTTCAGCGTCAGATATAAGATCTTTGATATGCACGGTACCAGTCACAAGCAAAAATGCGATAATTTTATTATCTTCTCCAGGATTAGGTCGAATATCCACGACATTGTCCGAAAATTTCATAGTTTGATATGGTTGAATTTTAGAGGACTAATTTATAGCATCAGAACAGATCGCATGTTAATGAAAAAGTTGATTATCAAAAACTTAATATTATTTATGACAACAAATAAATTATACCTCAGTTGAAAATTTGGTAACATCATAATATAATATTTGACCACCTTCAACACCCACAATTAAAGTGAGTTGATCCGAGGTCAACCTTAATAAATGAACGCGTCCTTCAGTTATATTAACGTGAATCCCTTGCTCAAATGGCTTATCCGATTCTGCGTCAGAAGAATAAAAGGCATTGCGTAAATCTTTTGTAAGCGCGTAAATAAAGCCTATTAACATTTATAAGTTGATTAGATTAGAAAATCGAAGTAAGAAAACCACCATTTATGCATATTTATATATAAACTCTTCAACCTTTGGATGTTCCCGCCATAAAATAACCATATAAATTAGAAACCGTTAATAATGAGGAATAAGGAGGTATAGACTTCTCATCAAAAATGTCTTTAGAAAGTTTAATTCTTTTTTTTAGTTGTATAAATTCAAAGAACTACGTGATCCAAGATACCGTAAGGCTTAATCTATCAGTTATTGTTATGATTTGAAATGGTTTAACAAGTTGAACTTACGTCTACATCAAGTTCTTCAAGCATTGTTTCGATTTTTTCGATTTTGTCTTCAGACATTGTAAAATTCTTGCTTAATTATGAAAGTAAAATGCTCAAGAAAATTACTTTGTTATGTAAATCATGTGAGAAATTCGTATTTATACTTAACTAAAAATGGGAATGATCTTTGTTTTGCCCCTCCTATTTATGTTAATGATCCGTTTGATCCGATTTTTAGACCCGATTTTAGGATCGCATTATAAAAAAAAATTAACGAAATGAAAAGATAAAAAAAAATCTTAATAATTTTTAATAAGCATTATGGAGGAAGCTTGATACTCCGCCATGTTTGATATATCATAATTTTTGAATAGCTAAAGTTCGAGATTCTTTCGCTGATCCAGTATATTCCGTTATTGTAAAAAATCATGCGACGAAGAAGCCCTTCTTGTTAAGTAAATAACACGTTATAGTTTCTTTTTGAAATATTTTTTTTTGGAAACATATTTACCGATTCCGCACATCGAAGAATTACAACATGTTATAGAATGGGGAAAGAGCATAACGCACCATTTTATCATGTCGCCTTAAGAGAACGTGTATTAGATATTATTGGTGGGATGCAATACTTAGTAAAAGAAATGCATGATTTATATTTTATTCATCATCTTCACATTGATATTACAATCGTTGAAAATGCTGTCTATTTGCTAAGTCATCTTTTTTTTATTTAATTAATTAGTCGGATAGACGATGAGTTAATTTCATATCGGATCGAAGAGTCGATACCGTTTGTTAGGTAAATCATTGCTGTTTCCGGATCTAGCCTACTTCTTGTTTTGAGACCACGTGATGGACGATCCGGGTCCAATCTGATTCGATCCCAACCTTCAGCAACATCCCTATCTATATATCTATGATTGGTGGTTGAATGGTCTATTTATTAAAAGTAATTTTTGTTTTTTTGACTCCCGTTTTTTAAAAACAAAAAACAAAATTAAAAAAAAAACCTGAATAATGCGACCACGTTTAATTATCCTCGTTCGTCATGGACAATCGGAAGCCAATGTTGATATTTCTATTCACCGATGGGTTCCTGATCACAAAATCAAATTGACAAAAGTGGGTGTGGAACAGGCCCTTGAAGCCGGACATCGTCTTAATAAATTGCTTAAACCTGACGAGGTTGTGCAGTTCTATGTTAGCCCTTATTTAAGAGCCAGACAAACATTTGAAAATATGTCTAAAGCATTAGACAAAAGAAGGTGGAAGTATTGTGAAGAACCAAGATTGAGAGAACAAGGTAAGTAATCATTTATTTCATCACAAGGAAATTGTTATTTGTATCACTTAAACTTTATGATTGAATTCAACTTTTCACACAATGATTTAATAGATTGGGGAAACTTTCAAGGACCACCTGAAGAAATGGCAAGGATCAAAATGGAAAGGAAATCTTATGGTCACTTGTGAGTTTTTCCTTTAATTAAATCATAATTTTATTTATGAAATCCACTCCACTCAATTCTTTCATTTTTATAGTTTCTATCGTATACCGAATGGTGAAAGTGGTGCTGATGTATACGATAGAATATCAACTTTTCAAGAGACGTAAGTTATTTTTAATGACCTTTTTATCGCTTAAATAAAATCTTAATTAAATGACCATTATTTAAATATTGTAATTTCGAGCTTAGATTGCACCGTGCTTTCGCTTCTCCCAGTTTTCCTTCGGTTCTGGTAATCGTCACTCATGGATTACTATCAAGGTAATAATAATCATCTTTAAAATATTATAAACATTTTTATCTACACTATTATTGATACAAATTATTTTTTAATCATTTTCAGGTTATTTGTGATGCGTTGGTTTCATTGGTCCGTAGAAGAGTTCGAATCATTAAACAATTTATGTACCTGTGAATTTGTGATCATGGAAAAGAATCAAGAAACAAACAAATACAAATTGACGACAAGTTTTAGAAGGCATTATAATGATGATGAAACTGGTAATGATAACGATAATGTTAAAGATAAATATTTAATCCAGAATCAAGAAAAATTTTTTAATGGACATTTGTTAGGTTATAACATTGAAGCAGAAGCAGGAGAAGAGTTCAGCAGCGAAGATGTTATGGAAGATGCATCAGAATCAGACGAGCAAAGTTTGAATTCTTCGTCGCTTAGTGTAAATGAGGTAGTGAAGGAAAACTTAAATGATTGAAAGAGATCCTTATTAGAATATATACTCCTTAATGAAATCAAATTTCAAGTATTATATTTCACACATATAGACATATAGACATCATTGTATACATAGACTAATGGATTTATAGATATTTTTAATAATTTGTATCATTATTCTTTTTATAATTTTATTATAATTAATCATCATAGGGATTGAAAATAAATAATGCAAATGCATATTGTCCTTTTTTATTAAATTAATTCTTATCAGAAAGAGAACGATAAAACGCGTTATTGGCACTTTCAAGATCAAATGATAATTGTCGAACTTGTTCTTCGTTAAGTTCATCACTGGCCTTCATTCCATTTAACATAATTAACCAATTTCTAATCTTTGCTTTACCCTCAAAATCAGCAGGTAACGAACTAACTTTGTTTAAACTTTGCATTAAGTCACCAAGCAAAGGATGTATATAGTCCACAGCCTTCATACCTAATTTTAGTGCATCCATAGTAGTAATCAAATGCTAAAGAACAAAAAAAAAAAAATAATGATTAAAAAAATAAAAAAAAAAAAAGATATTCTGTACGGCAACAAAGCAAAGCACAACTTACATGAACCGTTTCAGCAACGTATTGTGCAAATTTACTGGTATCATGTCCAGCACCGGTGGGATGTTCGATTGTGGCGGGCACCCCTATTTTGAATCGATTTACTGCCGCTGGACACTCTAACTGATAGGATAAATTTACATCAGAAAATATAAATAAATAAATAAAGTAACGGATCTCAATTAGAAACCATACCTTATATTCTTTTATAAACTTTTCCATAAACTTTTCCACATCCGTTATGGAATCACATACTAAATTAAGTGCTGTTCGGTACTGTGCTATTAATTGCGCACAAGCTTGTGTATATCTAAGAATAATTCGATTTAGTTGATTCACGATAAATGAATTAATTAAAGAAGAGAGAATAAATTAATCTTACTCGGAAGCAGTGACAGAATCTCTAACATATGCTTTCTCCAAATGTTCCATTGTTACAATAATAGCATATAAATCTGCTAAATTCTCGTATTTTTCTCTGTCTTTATTATTGGTATATAATCTGACCTCCTAACATAAAGTTGAAAAATTATAAAAACTTTATTTGAAACTTGAATGCAAAGATAAACTGGTTTACCTCATCAAGCGCGAGACCTTTATTGAAGGAAGGATTGTTTAATAATTACTAATTGAAAGGATATTGCTTAACGTTCATCAAAGCAACTTACTGTGTTCTGAGGGAACAGGTGAGTAAGAGGCAGCTCTTGAAGGACCATAAGTTGTGAGATAACTAAAGCTCGCTGGAGTATTTGACATTATTAAACTTTTTGAATTATTAGAAACACGAAAAACAAGTTAAAAAGGAATGATGAACAATGTTCAAAAATTCAACCAATCATAATTATCCAAGTTCAACCTCCAAATTTAATGATTTTCTATAAAAAAAAAAAAAATAAAACTGGTTTCGATTTCTAGATAATAACAAGCATTGCAAAAATGTACAATCAAAACAACCCAAACAACCCACCCAAACATAACTCTTATAACTATTATCCACCACAACAACATTCGGTTTCTCCACCTCCATTACAACATCCAATTCCCACTCACCCACCAATTCAAATGGTCGATCCTCCGGTCTCCTCACCTTCACCAACTACACAACAAAGAATCACACACCAACACCAGAATATTCCACCTCCACCTCCGCACCAACAAGGACCAAACGAATACAACGACGCGTGGAGATTTAATGATGCTACAACACAAATGGGAATGCAATTTGGGAGAACTGCAATGATGACAGGAAGTGAATACGTCGAAAAAAATGTAAATTTATTTCTTTAAAATCTAATACCCACTGTAAACCTGGATATGCTTTTTAAGAGGTTTAACTTTCGATTTAATATTTTAGATCAATCGATATGTTAATTTTCCTGCTTTAAAACATTATTTTAAAGTAAATAACTTGTACGTAGCAAACAAAATCAGATTGTTGTTATTTCCATGGAGACATCGACCATGGTCAAGGCTCGTTAAACGTTCTGAACAGAACGGACAAATGGAAGGATTTAAACCGCCCAGAGACGATATAAATTCACCAGATTTATATATACCAGCGATGGCACTGGTAACATATGTACTACTTACAGGGTTTGTTGCTGGAACTGAACACAAGTAAATTTTAATTAATATTTTTTTCGCTTTTTCTTTTTTTTTAAAAAAAGTTTAATTAAATGTTTTCACTTTAGATTTCATCCGAAAGTTCTAGGAGGAAATGCTACTACGGCATCTCTCGTTATGTTGATAGAATTGATTCTTATAAAGATGGGTTGTTACCTATTGAACATCACAACTGAAACTCAGATATTGGATTTATTAGCGTATTCGGGATATAAATTTATTGGGTATATTAAAATTACTATGCTAAAAAACAATGTTTATAATTTATGTTTTTACTATACATTTTCTAATTGAAATTTAATTTCTTTGAATGTTCAGTGTTATCGTTACTCTTCTTGTTGGTTTAATAGCACCTTTTTGGTTGGTGTCTGTAATTTTCATATATACCGTTGCGGCAAATGGATTTTTCTTGGTATTTATTATTTCCTTTAATCAAAGTTTGATTTGTATGCTAGCATATTTCTTATTTTTATTTTCTTTATAGCTACGATCACTTAGATATGTCGTTTTTCCTGATTCCACAAATACCGTTAATAGTCCACAACGAAAAAAACGAATTCATTTTCTTTTCATTGTAGCAACCCTTCAACTTGTTCTTATGTATTTACTTATTTAGGAGTGAATGTTACATAATATTTAATAGAGCTGTATTTTTATCCGCAGATAATGTATATATTCTTGATCAAAATGATTTATATAATATAATATTAAACATAAACACAGCTTTTCTTATTTTTTTTTTTAATAAACGAAAAATTCGTGTTAAATTAAAAAGTAAATAAATTACTTCAAATATATATAATATAATTTTATAATTTATAAATTTAAAAATATGTACTAATGATAGGTTACCCAGTAAATATTTTTATTAATCTTATCATTTTGTCGTCGATCCAAATTTTTGATCAAAAAAAAAATTTTCTACCATGAGCTTTTTACGTTATAAAACTCACATCGAAGAAGGCGAATTAGTTATTGCTTATTTAGTAAGTTAACATAAATGCTATTTATCTTTTTCTTAATTTAAATTATTAACATATCTCTTTATTAGTCGCGCGAAAATATGACACCACTTATAGTTGATTCCAAGAAAACATACAATAACAAATTTGGAATATTTAAGCATAAAGACATGATAGGTAAAGAATATGGTACAAAAGTAAGTAAATTCAACGTGAATTTAATTTAATTTTATGTTTACTAGTTTTTTAAGCTAATTAATCAATGATTTTATAGATGCCTTCACATAATGGTAGAGGTTTTATGTATTTACTTCACCCAACACCAGAATTATGGACCCATGTAGTTCCACATAGGACACAAATTTTATATGCCGCTGATATTTCTTATATAACAACGTATCTCGATTTAAAACCTGGTTCTGTAGTACTAGAATCCGGTAATTAATATAATATTTTTGATATATTTATATTTTAATTCGATTAATATATTTAATAATTAGGAACGGGGAGTGGATCATTTTCACATTCTTTGGCACGAACAATTGCACCAAATGGTCATTTGTATACATTTGAATTTCACGAAGAGCGGGCAAAAGCCGTAAAGTATGAGGATTTTCTTTTCTTTTTTTTTTTTTTTGAACAATGAATTCATTAATAAAAATAAATTATGCCTTTAATATTCCTTTATTTTAGGCAGGACTTTGAAGAGCATGGCTTGTCGGATCTTATTACAATAGAATGTAGAGATGTTTGCAAGAATGGTTTCGGCGTTACCGATTTAGTCCATGCTGGTAAATAATCACGCGTTAAAACTTAACCTTAACCTTACCTTTTGTTAATTTCTTTGTTGATTTATTTATCTATTAGTATTTTTGGATCTACCTGCACCATGGGAGGCAATTCCAGCGGCTAAAGAAGCATTTAAGGTTATTTTTTTATAAATATGATTTATTTGTTAATTATTTATATTCACAAAACATGATAATTTTCATAGCAAAAACGTATAGGCAAGATAAGTTGTTTTAGTCCATGCATTGAACAAGTGCAACGGACTTGTGCGTCCTTGAATGAAAATGGTTTTGTTGGTAAGTAGTTTTATAAAAATTTTATGACAAAACTAAATTAAATATTAACTCGATTATTACAATAGAAATTAAGATGTATGAATGTCTTATGCGTGAACATGAAATTAAAACAATACCAATATATACGGTTACTGATGCTGTAAATAAAATTAAATTACAACAAGATAAAAAACGTAAACGTAAGGAAGATCGAGATGAACAGGATAATGCTAATGCTGATAGTCAGGTTTCTAAATCAAAACAAGATCCTCCAAATCTGTATGTTTCCAAAACACCTAATGAAGTCAAAGGTCATACCAGTTATTTAACTTTTGCAACTTTTTTACCAGTTTTGGAAGAACAGTTTTTAACGAAATAATTAGGTTACAAAATTAATGGAAATTTTTATTCAAAGTAAAAAAAAAAAAAAATGGATAATGAAATTTTCTTAATTTTCTTTTCTTTTTCTTTTTTTTTTTTTGACAAGCAAAAAAAAGATAAGTTAATATTCATGTAGAATTATAATTTTGTTTATATATTTATATATATATATATATAGAAATCCAAATAGAAGAAGGTTTAATTTATCTTACAAATCTATCTTACAAATTATAATAAAAAAAAAAACCAGTTAGATTATTGCTTTAAATTCTGATATTTATTTATAATAGAATTTTTAATTTTTAAATTTTAACACTTTAAGTTTTAATTGATTTCAATTAAGTTTATATAAATATACTATAGTATTATAGTTTACATTTTATCTAAACTAAAAAATTACTGAAAAATTAGCTATGTATTAAATATGTTACTTTTACTTGATCTTTGCTAGTAATATTGAGTAAAATTGTTTTGTATAATTCAAAATATTTCAAAATTTTTTCTAAAAGTTTAAATTTTTTTCAAATTAAATCCTCTCTAAAATCCAATTTTATATCTAAAATAACAAAATATAATAATATATTGAAATAATAAAACTAAATAAAGCAAATCAAATTTAGTTAGAATATTCATTTAAAAATCAATATTATTTATGTTTTCTAATAAGCTTATTAAAGAAAATTTAATATATTTATCAAAATACTTATTTTATCATATAGTATTATCTAAAATACTTCAGATCTATATCAATTTTAGTGATTTAAAATTGAATAATATCTATGAGTATTTTATGTAATATAGGATATATTCAATAATAATATATTTTATCAAAAGATATTGTATTATTAGTAATTTTATATATACTTACTTTTGTAATAATAACATATAAAATAAAGTGAAAAGGTTTTTTTGACTGACTGAAATTCATATATTATCATATTTAAAATAAAAAATTACAAATCTAAAAAATTGTTATCAGCATATATAATTTTATTAGTAATTTAATAATTCATCAATTATTAGTTAAAAAGTAATACAACTGCAATTTTAAATAAGAATTATAAAAAAGTAAGAAAAGCTATAAATTATTTAATAAATTTCTATATAGAATTAATTAGTATTAAATTAGAGTTCAACTTTAGATAATTTAATACTTATAATTCAAATTTAAAACTGCAAAATAAAATTTTACATAAAATTTAAACTTGCAAAAATTGAAAATTCATATATAATTTAAAATTGTAAAAATTACGTAAAATTATATCATTTTGTTAAATTAAAAAAATCATTGAATTTTGCATTAAATTAAATAATTATTTGTAAAAAATTAGAAACTTTTTTATGCTGACATATTACAATATAATTTTATATAAGAAATAATTTATCATAATTTTGTTTCTCTACTTGTTAAACTTTTATTTTTAAATTTATTAAAATACTAAATATTATTGAATAGTCAGAAACTGAGATGTAACATTTGATTGATTTAAGAAGAAATAAATATAGAATACTGAAGAAAATTCAGCAAGTCAAGAATATCTTTTTAGAATAAAATTATAGTGTAGCTTAAAAATATAAGAAGGTTTTTACTAATGAAATAAGTTTAAAAAAATTGGAAAGTAAGTAAAATATTAGTAAAAAAAAAGAACAATAAGTTAATAATAATTGTATTTGCAAAAATTTATTTTTGATATTTTAGTTATTCAAAAAGTATACTAAAGAAAAACAAAGTAAAAGATAAACTTATATTTGAGAAGTTTTTAGAAAACAATTTGAGTTTCAATTCTAGAATAGATCTAGTTAGTATAATAAAACTTTTTTAATTAAAATTAAACATTATTAAAATTTAATACTGTTTATATTATTTAACATATCATATAGAGGGTGGATAAAAGTATTCATACACTTTTTCACTCAATATAAAACTTAAAATATTTTTGAAATAACAATAAAAAGTTAATTAATTTTTTATTTAAAGCCGATTAATATCTACATTTTGTGCTAAGTAACTAGTACTTAGTTGGTCCACCATTTACTGCAATCACCGCTTGAATTCATTATAATATACTATCGACAAAGTTTTTGATAGTATGCTTCAGAATTTCCTGCCATACCTTTTTAACATATCAGTCAAGATCAGCAAGATTAGATAGAGGTTTTTTATAAGCTCAGATGCTTTTTTTGACTTCAGCCCAAAGATTTCAATTGGATTAAGATCAGAACTTTGAGCTGGTTAAAATAATATATGAAGATTTATTTCGTTTGAAAAATCATTGGTTAATTCTTTGGTTTTTAGCATTTTTTTTTAGATTTTCAGAGAAGAAAAATTTATTAAAAAAAAAACAAATTTGTTATTCTTTTATTTTTATAATATAAGTAAATACTTAAGTGTCATGTAAACGTAATTTGTTATTATGATCATATGACTTTACTAGCATTAATTCATATTTATGGAAGTGTGCAGATACTTTTGTCCACTCTCTGTATTAAAGAATGAAAGTATATAAGTTTAACTAATCAAAGTAAGATCCCAAAAATCTTTTATATAACTCAAATTATGTTTTTTAATGATATGATACTATTATAAGTTTATTAGTTTATACTATCCCTTAAACTATAAAGATTTATAGACAAATTTGTCTGCTTATTTACTATAAATTTCTTTTAATTTACTTTTATGAAAAATCAAAATTTTTTAAATTTTAAAAAATTTTTTTTTTATATTAATTTTATAAATATATATAATATTATAATAAATTTTATTTTTAATTATATAATAAATAAATTAAGGTTATTTATAAACTAAAAATTTGTAATTTTTAAAAAAATTATAAGTTAAAAAATTTTATTATTGACTTTTGACCATCTTATTAATATTTACTTTAGTAATATTAATCATTAGAATATTATAAAGTTTATCATGATAAATAACTTTAATTATTATAATTTTTATAATTTACTAAAAAATTTTATGATTTTTAATAATAGTAAAATGATTTAATTAATTTGTAAACATATAAATTTAAGAAAATTTTTAAAAATTATTATAAATTTTTAAAACTTAATTTTAAAAATTGAATTATTTAAAAAACTTTTTAATAAACTTAAATTTTTTTTAACAAAGTTGATAAAATATATATTAAATTATATTTTTTATATAATAATTATATTTTTAATATTAATATTTTATATTTTATTAAAAAAATTAATACTTTTTTTTATATTTGCAGATAAATTTACTTGCTTTATAATTTAAGGAATAATAGAAAATAATAACAAAGTAATCATAAAAAGATAGAAAATATATTTTTGAAATAACTTTAAAAAGAAAAATTAATGAAAATATAAGGAAAAATTATAAAGAATATATTTGATCTAACTCTTATATTTAGTTTACTTTTAGTTTTTTTTTTTATTTTTTTATTATTTTTAATTCTTTATTTACAATTCTTTTTATTTTTTTATTTTCTTATTAATAAATATATAGGATCTTTATAATAGAAAAGGAAAAATAACTAAAAAATAAAAAAATGAATTAATACTAAATCTAAATATATTTTAACTTAAAAATTATATTTGATATATAAAAGTAAAATTAGTTTTTTTAGCTATTTTCTTTTTTCTATTGCAAAAGTCCTATATTGTTATATAATTAAGTTACTTAAGTTATTTTATTTTGAGTGTATATGACTGCATAATTATAAATTATATTGTAAATTTAAATTTATATTAGAATATTATATAAACTTTAAAAGAATTTATTACTTAAATATTTTATCTAACAGTCACAATTTAGTAGGATTACATATTAATAATACTTATAATTAATCTAGAATAAAATAAAAGACTATAAATACAGAGTCTAAGGTTATATATACAGTGACTTGTATAAGTAACGCATTATAATAATATTAAACGTTAAATCACATATTTATCAATCATATAAATGTATATAAATATAATATTTATTATATATATAATATAGTGTAAAAGCATTAAAAATATATCAAATTTAGTAATACTTAATAAATCCACTTTACTTTATTTATACAATATTTATTAAAATCGTGATGCATTATTTATACATATTTTACATTATTATAAATTTAATGTTTTTTTTAAAAAAAAACTAAAAATATTACTAAAAACTTCATAAAAATATTTTTATCATCTTGTATAACCACCTTTAGCATTAATAATATTTTAGATTCTTTTTGATATTATCTTAACCATTTTTCTCAATATTTTTTGAACAAAAATGACTTCTTACGTTTTACTTTACAAACTAAACTATTTCTCTTTAATACTCTATACACAGTATCAGTGCTAACCTCAATATTTTCATTAACTTATAGAAATTTTATTAATAAAATAGTGTTAGAACATTCCCCATTTACTAAGCGTCTTACAACAGTATATTCATAGCATTCATTTAACTTTGTGATCAACCTAAACGTGGCTTATCTTTTACATTACTGATTTCTTCATATTTCTTTTTAAGTCTTAGTATTATTATATAACTTCTATAGCTAATTTTGGCAGTAATTTTTCTTGAGAAAAAATTACGTTTAATCATCATAATTACCTGCACTCTTTGTTTTATAGTAAATTTGACCTTTATTTTATTGAAAATAATAAATAGTTTTGAAAAAAGGATAAGTATATAAAGTATTTCATTATTATATTTATCATTAATTATAAAAAAAAATTTTTTCTAATAATTTTTTTATTAAAAAAAATGGCAAAAATTATGCATTATAGTTTAGAAAAAAATAACATAATAGCAATTTTTTGTTATGTGAGTATTTATATATTAAAGATCTATATTATATTGTTTATTTTGAAAAAATTAGATTAAACAGATTTGTTTTGATTGACAAACACATGATTTACTATTTAAAAACTTTAATACATTACTTTTGCGAGCTACTATATATCTATTTGTCCATTCATTTAATAATTAAATCAATGTGATTATCCTTTCCAATAAAAAATTTA